GTGGAACCTGACCAGCGGCTGACTACAGGAAGCCCGAGGCAGAGCTGCTCTGAAACTGACCAGCAGCGGCTGAATCAGGACGCCTGGGGCAGAGCAACTTGGGTGCTCCTGGGTTGGTCCAGTAGCGCCGAGGAGCGGCACTACTGGAGCAACCCAGCAGCACCCCAGCTGCTCTGCCCCAGGTGTCCCCAAGTCAGCCGCTGCTGATACTGATCAGCGGCTGAATCAGGAAGCCTGGGGCAGAGCAGCTGGGGGGCTGCTGGGTTGGTCCCACAGCGCCGAGAAGCGGCGCTACTGGACCAACCCGGCAGCACCCCAGCTCCTCTGCCCCAGGTGTCCCCAAGTCAGCAGCTGCTGAAAATGACCAGTGGCTGACTACAGGAAGCTCCTGCCCCGGGCTTCCTGGAATCAGCCGCTGATCAGTTTCAGCAGCAGCTGACTTGGGGATGCCTGGGGGTCTTAAGTTGAATCTGTATGTAAGTCAGAACTGGCGTCCAGATTCAGCCGCTGTTGAAACTGATCAGTTTCAGCAACGGCTGAATCTGGACGCCAGTTTCGACTTACATACAGATTAAACTTAAGAATAAACCTACAGTCCCTATCTTGTACGTAACCCGGGGACTGCCTGTATATAAAAAATAATCAGTGATCTCTGGCCAGTTCCTAGAGGACAAATTCATTATAATTGCTATAAAAGGTCTCCATCTTTCCTTTGCAGGCAGTCTCAGCAGAGAACTTTATAGTAATAGCTTAGAAACACAGAGCTATGCATAAACATTACGTCTAAGGATTGACTAGGACTGGAGATTGAACTACCATCCCTCCCCTAAGTAAAGCAAAGAAAGAATTTCAAACTCCACACCAAACTGAATCTGTATATTAATGATATTAGGAGTTTCTTACTAATTCTCACTGGTCATTTAGACCTCATCTTAGAAGATGCTAATCTACCTGTATTCAACAAGGCACTTAAAGCACACAGCAGATGCATGCTTGCAAGAGCTTTTCAGAACTCTAGTCTCACCCATTTTCAATATTCAAATTTAACACCATAAATATGCCAAAATGAATCAAAAACAGAGTACTAACACTCTTTAATAGTTGAATAATATATAGTCAAATACTCACATCACTCATGTTCATGGCATTGACCTTGGCTTGAATAAACTGAGGAACATCAGGGTCCAGAGTGTATTTGTGTTTTAGTTTCTCACCCTCCTGCTTATAATTTATCTAAGGAAGAAATTAATACATAATGAGATACAAGGCAGTCACAGCAGCTTAATCATATACAAGTAGCAACATGTAATACTTACCAACAAACAGCAGTTTTAATACATGTATAGCTTTTGAAATGCAAAGGTCTACTAGATAGAAGTTGAGTCTTGGTATTTCAAAACATGCATAAAATAACAATGTTATCAGACAATGAATCTGGAAAATATACAACTGACAAATTCTGTCCTGTCCATAATAGTATGTTAAGAAACTGCTCACCTCACTCAGTTGCTTTGTATTGTGCTGAGCCAAAGTCATTGGCATTGAGTCTGGTAGACTTGTGAACTTAAAGTTCCCTGGGGGCTGGCGATATTTCTTTTCATTTAATGCCTCTCCAGCTTTTTTAACCTTTTCAACATCCAGAGATCCCAGAGGGCTCCATCCAATACCCTTGAGCCAGCTGTTGTAATCTTGTTTGTACAAGTTCTGAAAAAAGAGCAATCCTAAATTGGTCAAAGACTGCAAAGACATTCACAATGAATAGTATTCCTTCTTGTTCAAAGTGATAATCATATAACTTAGTCAGTATGGTCTGCATTTGACAGGAATATTTATAGTTTCTTATTGGAGAAACATAAATCTTTGCTTCTCTTTCCTTCACATTTTTCTATAATTTCATAATTTTGCCCAGGGTGCTCTACATGCCTTGTTTCATACATTTAGTAGACTCTCTATTAATAAGTTACTGAGTTCCTTCTCTCTTCCCCCTTGTGAAAACTTTTACAGTCCCACCTATTCTTAAATCATTCAAGCTACAATGTTGAAGTTGAAGTACTTACATCACTTTGAATATTCATCATATTCTTTGTAAGTTCAACATTCATGGCATCTGGCAGATAGGTATAGTGGTGGATCAGATGTTTGTAGTTGGTATTGGAGGCTATGTCTTGAGACTGTTTAGCTGCATGGATACTGACCATATCAGCAGGTGTATGATAATTGGTCTTGGTCATCTCATAGTCCTTCTTGTACTCACGCTCAGACTGCATCTTGGCCACATTCATATAATGGACAAGTTTGGGATCATCACGCACACTTCGGAAACCAACATGTTTTCCTTTTGCCTTTTCATAAGCTTCTTTATATTTATACTGGAGAGAGAGAGAGGGAGGGAGGAAAGGAGAGAGAGATTGGTAAATATAGTATGCATATCTATTGGGTACGTATATTGATAGCTAGAGTTAAGGTACTGGAGGAGCTACAAAGAGTTCAGATGGGTCAGCCATCCCAACAGAATGCCCAGTGTCCGTACATATACTAAACTTTTTTGGAAATCTCCTAATATTGCCCTATTACCAGAGCAGCAAATAGTGGTGTGTGCACTAGTATAAACAGGGCACGAGAACCCAACTCTGTACAGAAGAGATTTTACATGATGCTCTGGTGAATGTTGGAGCTCTGCCAACACTAGCACTTCCATCTCTGGTGGAGCTGCACCAGAGAGTGCGCAGTGAATAGAAATTTCCGAAGGAAGTCCCATGTTAACAAGGCACATGAGTAATATTAGAATAATTACCAGCAACTGGTCAATCAACTGTTTAGTTATGGCAAATGAACCAAATATAACTGGTCAGCACTCCGCTGGTGATTTAACTAGACTAGCCCAATAAAGCCTACTGAGCCTTGCATTGCATCGGTTACCCCTCCACTCTATGGCAAAATGTGTCCCAGAATGGAGTGTATCATGCCACTGTAGTGTTCATGCAATAGGCTATCTAGCAATTTACCATAGGCAGATTATGCTGCTTAACAGTGTTATAGCCATCTATAACAAATGAAATAAAACAGACACTACAGCAGCTTCTGTTTACATAAAGCAGAGGGCTGTGTCTACACTGGGCCACTTATTCTGGAAAAGCAGCCGCTTTTCCGGAATAAGCTGTGAGCTGTCTACACTGGCCGCTTGCTTTTCCGGAAAAGCAATGATGATCTAATGTAAAATCGTCATTGTTTTTCTGGAAAAACTATGCTGCTCCCGTTCAGGCAAAAGTCCTTTTCCAGAAAAACTGTTCCGGAAAAGGGCCAGTGTAGACAGCACAGTAGTCTTTTCCGCAAAAAAGCCCCGATCGTGAAAATGACGATCGGGGCTCTTTTGCAGAAAAGCGCGTCTACATTGGCACAGACGCTTTTCTGGAAAAAGTGCTTTTCCAGAAAAGCATCCTGCCAATGTAGACGCGCTTTTCCGGAAATACTTATAACGGAAAATTGTTCCGTTTTAAGCATTTCCGGAAAAGGGTGCCAGTGTAGACGTAGCTGAAGAGTTTAAAATAAAATAGGCTTCTTCCCATTTGCTACTAGAACAATCAGTTTTATTGGCAGCCTTCTCAAATCCTTTCCATAGAGTAATGCTG